GTCACTTTTACTTCAGCGGCTGAGGTAGTCGGTACGTCCGGCCCACCTGACCCACGGGTCGCAGCTGCGCGTACTACTGCGCCAGCAGTTAGCCGCGGACGGACTAATAACACGTGCGCTCCCTTTCGCACCATGTTTTTCGCTTGTGTGCGATTAACTGATAAGCACTCTGCCCTGGCTTGCATTGCCATGATAACGTGATGTTTTGGGCGCTGATCTTTGGAAGGATCCTCCTTTCCGTGCGAATAGGTACGACGAAACTCTTGCGTACCCTTCCGGAGTGTTACCACTCTGGTGTCAAAATCGATTCGTATTCGACTTTGCTCTAAGATATTCGCACCTAAGATCAGATCAGCCGAGGTTGGCAACCCCTTCATCACTAGGGCAGGTACTACCAACCGCACCGGTCCCCCTCTCACCTTCAGCATCGTTTGACCAACGATGGGAGACAGTCCACCATCCGCCAACCGTACGTACGTGAAGGCTGAGGGTAGTACGTGAAGATGAAGAAGACGCACCAGCGCCTCGGAAACGAAGCTATGCGTAGCTCCCGAATCCAACATGGCCATAAACGTAGACCCTGAAATCTTCACTGCTAGGTGAGGAACAGCATTCCCAACAGCTGTACATGCAGGGATTTCTTCCGTGCTGTCTGGACCATCATACCATACCTCCATAACTTCAGTAATAGGAGGAAGAAGCGCGCGGCTTCCTTGTACATCTGGTACGTAAAACAAAGAGGTACCCACTGGGTATCGTCGTACCAATTTCGGTGCGGGCTCCCAAGTCGGGGCGGCGTGGCGTGATTCCGAACCGGTGCATGCTAGACGGTCTATGGCCGACACTATGAATGGTCCGTTCACTCTTGAAGAGGTTGAGGCGGCTTTGTCGTCCCTGTCTAATGGGCGTTCCCCGGGTCTGGGTATGGTTCCGGCCGAGTGCTACAAGTATGCCAAGCGAATCCCTCGTGAAGGTGACGAGGACAGGGTGTCTGTCAATGTTATTGCCCCTGCGATTCGAGACCTTTTCCAGCACATTTGGGATACAGGGGATGTGCCTGACCAGTTTTGCGTGGCGTCTCTCAGTCCGTTATTTAAGAAAGGCGACCCCAGGGTCAAGGACAACTACAGGGGTCTAGCTGTGGGATGCGCCATTGCCAAATGCTATGCCACGGTTCTCGACAGGCGGCTGGCAGCTTTCGGGGATAAAGATGGTGTCCGGTGCCGTTTTCAGGCTGGGTCCCGTCAAAAGCGCAGTACAGTTCATCAGTTGTTCGTTGTTCGTCATCTTAAAAGTCGTTATGAGCGGCCCGGCAGCAATCAGGCC